AGGAGATCATAGCTGGCTTAGAATTGGAAAGCCCTGCTCACAAGAAAAGACATGGGACATGGTTATGCTGTGGGCTCCCCAGAAATCAGATCGAGTCCCTTAGTGATCAAAGAAAAGATGACACTACAAGAAGGACCAGAGAAAGATAGAGAAGATGAAGCTTCAGCCGCAGCCCATTGGAGCTGCCCACTTCCAACTCTTCCATTCTATTTCAACTCAAACCATTCCTTAGGGAACAGGGAGCAGAAATGCAGCTGGTTACATGAAGCAAATAATTCACAGTGGAGAAAGGAGACATTTACAAGGGCAGACTCTGAATTTTGGGGAATAGTTATCCTTACCCACTGAAACCAGGTTGCTGAAATTCTCCAACATTACTTCTTTGTATAAATTCATCTGACCAGAGTCCAGGCATTCCCATTCCTCTTGAGAGAAGTCTATGGACACATCCCTGAACATCACTGACCCCTGAAACAACAAACATGCTTTCACAATGGAAGGAGAAAAGAAAAAGATGGTGGTAGAGGTGGCAAGAAAGGACAGAGTAAGCAAAATTAAAGGGGGTGAATCCTATCATATCAGAAGATATATGTCCTGTGTACAAAGGGATGTACAAATAGGCTGGACTTTTCCAGTGATAGGAAACAGCATGCATTCAGTTCAATCAGTGAGTTTCTTCCCCCTCTCCACTTTCCCTTTATGCCCCAAGAGAGGGGAAAATGGGAGGGGCTTTCAAACACATCTCATAATACTTGGAGTAAAAATTCAGAATATCAGGGCAAAACAAAAAAGAAAGTTTCTAAAAGCTTCTAGGAAGAAAACACAGATCACGTAAGTTTTCAGGAATCAGAATGGCAATAGACTTCTCAACAGCACCATTTGAAACAAGAAAAAAACCAAGCAATTCCTTTAATATTATAAACAAAAATAAATTCTGAAATAGAATTCTATCTCCAATCAGATTACTAAGCCACTATGAAGATTAAATCAAGACAATTTTAAATCTGCAGGGAATGATAAAAGTATTTCCAATGTGGCTTTTCTTAGGAAGCTACTGGGCTACATGTTCCATCAAAACTAGGGAGTAAATTAGGAAAAAGAAAAGGTACTATATTAAGACACTGGAAAACTAACATGAAAATGGTGATGAAAGTGCCAGTATAATTATAAAAGGCAAATCCTAGAACACCATCCAGCAGCAGACTGAGAGAACAGCATCTAGGAAAAGAAGAAGTAAGGACTATAGGAAAGACATCTCCAAAGAAAACTAAGGAGCTAGTATGTTTGATCATGCAGAAAATATCGACAGGCAACTGACAGCAATGTTAGAGAATTTGAAAAAAATAGCGACACATACATAAAATCAGGCAAAAGAAGAAACAAGGCAATTTACTCTGAGAAGAACACAAATTGTACTGGAAAGAATCAAGGCGGAGCTTGCAGTGAGCTGAGATCCGGCCACTGCACTCCAGCCTGGGCGACAGAGCAAGACTCCGTCTCAAAAAACAAACAAAAAAGAAAGTGAAACTTATGGCTTTAAGCATAAATATAGGAGAGTATCTGCATGTCCTTGGGACAGGGAAGGATTTATTAAATAAGATACAAAAAGCACTAACCATAAAGAAAAAATATTGATAAACTCAGCTTTTTAAAAATTAGAACTTATCATAAAATCATCTTACAGGAAGTGATGAAATCTTCCAAATATTAGGAAAACACAATAAAGGACTGAGATTCAGATTACATAAATAACTCATATGAATCAATAAGAGCTATTCCAAGAGAAAAATGAGTAAAGATTTGAACTGACATGCCACAAAAGATGAAACGCTAAAAACCAATAAACATATGGAATATATTCAATTTTATTATTAATGATGGAGACCCAAATTCAAACCTGTGGGGGTAGGGGGTTGTTAAGTACAGATATATATTCAAATGAGGATTTAAAAGTCTGGCATGTCTGATTTTAAAAAAGTATATACCATAGTTTCTTCAAACGTAGAAAAATATATTTCCCAAGACCATTTGATGACGTGGGATCATATTTATGACACTTTTTTTGTAAAAATGTAGAACATCAAATGGCAAATGAAACAAAATTTGGTTCTTGACATATAATGAAAATACATTAAAATATTAACACTATCTGAGTGGTCAAATTTTATTTTTTCTTGGTAATGCTGTATTTTTGAGATATCTAAATTAATCATCCTTTTATTTTTAAATCATAATAAATACTTGAGAAGAAAATTCCGCAAGCATAAGTGGAGCAACCATCCTTTTCTGTGATGGGAAAATTATAGGGACCGAGAATTAAATGGCATTCCTTTATTAAGCAAGAATTTTCAGAAGAAAAAGAAGAAACCCTAACACACCTTGGATACTGCTTGTAGAAGTTCATCATGCATTCTTTCCTCCTCTTCTGGGTGACACCTGGAGAAAGGTAAAATTGGGAGAGGGAAGAGTAACTGTGAGACACCAAGTTTTTCTTGGTACCCAAATTAGTCAAGTAAGAGGTCTTCCCCAGCCCCATTACCCACCACACATGGGGAATGGAGATCAGAGGAGAAAGGGGCATCCTGTCCAATTTCAGTGGCTCAGGGGAAAGGCTGTGTTCACTGCAGTCCAGGGTTCGAATCTGACCACCAGACCTCAGAGAGGTTTCCTAGAGACAGAGTTCTGGAGTCACAATCGCACAGTTGACGGGACCCCATACTCATACACAGAATGCCAAATACCGTTAGGGACAGTCACACTTAAATCAAGGCGACATGCACGTCTCACCTGCACACACGGAGCCACACACGGCAACACAGTTACAATCACATACACACCATAGGAAACACACAATTACAGCTGCACAATCGTAGGCACCCCACACTGTCGCAGTCACAATCACACATCACCACGGGTACACACAGCCACAACCCCTCCAGTGACAGGTATCCCATATCCGCACATAAGCCGCAGTGTTATTATCTCCCAGACAATTCCACAGCCTCCCCTCTCTTTTGGAGGGGTGGGGACAGAGTCTTGCTCTGTCGCCAGGCTGGAGTGCAGTGGCGCGATCTCGGCTCACAGCAACCTCCGCCTCCCGGGTTCAAGTGATTCTCCTGCCTCAGCCTCCGAGTAGCTGGGACTACCTGGTAGCTGGGACTACCGGCGCGCGCCACCAACCCCAGCTGATTTTTGTATTTTTAGTAGAGATGGGGTGTCACCATGTTGGCCAGGATGGTCTCGATCTCTTGACCTCGTGATCCGCCCGCCTTGGCCTCCCAAACACAACCTCCCCCTTTCAGGCAGCTCCGCCCACACGGGCCCAAGGCGCCAGCTCCCCACCGGCCTTCGGTATCCTCAACTAAGCCCTTTCCAGTCATCCCGGATGGGAACTTGCAGACCTGAGCCAGTTCTCCTGGGGACCAAAATATCTCACCTCCCAGATCTAAGAGTCCCGCCAGGAGTGACGAAACGTTCGAATTCCTGCGAGAAAAGTGGCAGGCCACCAGGCCCTCTGGGAAATGTAGTCCAGAGCGAGACCCACGCCGATTCCTGTCAGCTCCTCGCCTGGGCCCACCCGAAACGGCTGCTCCCTCAACTCTCAACATCCAGCCGAGCCTCGGAGTTGCGGGTGGCTGTAGCGCTGGGCAATGGAGATGAGCCTCCCCGGGAACCTGGCCCACGCCTCACCCTCACACAGGAAACGCCGACGTGTTCTGGCCGGATGTTGAGTGGGGCCGCGGGGCCTGCTGGGAGGTGTTGTCCTCGGAAACGTCGCGGACGCGGAGGGATGGTTCGGGGCTTTAGGCGTCTGTTCCACACCTATCTGTGGGTCCCCTTCACCCAGAATCTCAGAAACTGCGCGCGGGATGAACATTCGGGTGTTTCCGGCAGGTGACGCTGCCGAGTCCCCGCAGCAGGGGGCGAGCAAGGGACTCGCGGCTGACGGGACACGGAGCCACTTAGGCCCAGAGTGTCCCGAGTAGCGGCAGTGGGGAGTGCTCAGGGTACGCTACTGCTGAGTGGTTGCAGTTGTCGGGACAGAATACTGTGAAGGGAGTTAGTGTGGGTGTGTGGTTGTGTGTGTGAGTGTGACGGCACGAATAATTGTGATGGGGTGATTGTGATGTTTGGTTGCGCGTGATTATGATGAAATGTGTGATATGTGTGTGATTGTGATTAAGGCTCTAGTGAGTGTGAGCGTGGCGAAGTGTGCGTGATTGTAGTATGTCTAGTATGTCTTGAGCTGGCTTCTCTGTAGCATTTGGCATAGTTGATAACGACTTGAAAAACACTTGTTTTTTACTGGTCCTGTCTCCCTGTTGGCCACTCCTCTGTAGTCTCCTTTGCTGCCTTTTTTACCGTAGTCCTTGACCCTACAATTTATGGTTTTCCAGTATTCCTTAGTGAACTTTTCAGGTTCATTATTAGATTATGACTTGCTGCTTTTATGTATATTAGTTAGCTATTGCCGTGATAATAATGATGTCTAAAAACCACCCCTGAACTCAATGCCATACAACAGCAAGTCCTTATTCTCCTGTTCACAGGCTGGCGCGTTGACGGTGTTCAGCTGATCTAGGTGGGGCTTGGTTGAGTGGATAGGCTGCGCGACGAGTTAAGACCTGCTCCGCATCTGTTCTTTCTGGATCTCAGGCCAAAAGCACATTTATTGCCAGGGCATGCTCTGCTCATGATGGGTCACCAGAGCACAAGAGAGATTGCCTTAACCAGAACAAGTCACATGGTTAAGCCTAAAATAAATTATGCCCACAATTGGAGGGCAAAGTTACCTTCCAAAGAGTATGAATATATAATCTATTAGAGGGGGTGAGGAATTGGACTAAAATTCCAATCTACCACCTTAAGAAACATACCTCTTTATCCTGGTGAGTGCCTTTTAGTCCGGGTTCGCTTTTGTCTGATAATATTGCTTTTCAAGTTTTATTGTATTTCTTAAGAATTTCATTTTCTAACCCCTTTGTGTCTTTATGTTTCAGATCTGTGTCTTGTAAGGAGCATATTGCTGGGTTTACATCTGTTTATCACGTTTGACTGTTGTTTTAATAGGTGAGTATAATTCAGTGGCATTTATTATGATTGCTCATAAAAACGTTTTGTTTTCTATTTATTATGCCTTAAACATTTTTGATTGACATATAATAGTTGCACATATATCTTTTTTTATTGGGCAAATTCACCTTATCCCTTTTTCTCCCCTACTTTGGTTTCTGCTATTATCCTTCTATTTTTAATATGCATACTTAACAAAACCTTAAGACTTTAAAATACTTGAACTCCAAAATATCCGCCAATTTCTGTGTTATTCTTGTCTGGTATATTGTTTTCTTCTAGTTTTTGTTGTTGTTGTTTTGTTTTGTTTTGTTTTGTTTTTTGAGACGGAGTCTCGCTCTGTCACCCAGGCTGGAGTGCAGTGGCACGGTCTCGGCTCACTGCAACCTCTGCCTCCTGTTCAAGCGATTCTTCTGCCTCAGCCTCCAGAGTAGCTGGGACTACAGACGCGCCACCACACCCAGCTGAATTTTTGTATTTTTAGTAGAGGCGGGGTTTTACTGTGTTAGCCACCGTGTTAGATCTCCTGACATCGTGATTTGCCCACCTCAGCAACCCAAAGTACTGGGATTATAGGCGTGAACCACTGTGTCTGACCTATTCTCTTCTAGTGTTAAATCCCCAAATTAGTAGTAGTAACTCATTTATTTTATATACGGTTCGTATCCAGGAGGGGTTGGTTTCAGGACCCCTCCATGGATACCAGAATGCACAGATGCTCAAGTCCCTACATCCTTCTGTATACATTAAATCATCTCTAGATTATTTGTAATACCTAATACAATGTAAATGCTATGTAAATCATTGTTACACTTTATTGTTTAGGGAATAATAAAAAAATCTGTACTGTACATGTTCAGTACAGACACAACTATCGTAGGCCTAACTCTGTTTTTTATCTGAGGCTGATTGAATCTGAGGATGCAGAACCCGTAGATAAGGAGGACCAACTATAGACATATATATATATTTAATTGTGGTAAAATACACAATGTGGAATTTATCATCTAAACCATGTTTAAGTGTACAGTTCAGTGACATGAAGTACATTCACATTGTTATGGTACCATCACCACCATCCCTCCACAGAACTCTTCTTCTTGCAAAACAGAAACCTGGTACCTATCAAACAGTAACTCTCTATCCCCCACTTTCCCCCGGCCTATGGCGTCTACCATTCTACTTTCTGTCTCTGAATTTGACTATTCTAGGTACTTCATATAAGCAGAATCATATGTTGTTTGTCCTTTTGTGACCCTGATTTAACTTAGCGTAATGTCCTCAAGATTCATCCATGTTAGCATGTATTGCAATTTCCTCCCTTTTTAAGGCTGAATAATAAGTATGTCATATATGGATAAACATTTTGTTTATCAGTTTATTCATCATTGGGTACTTGGGCTGCTTCTACCTTTTGGCAATTGCAAGTGACACTGCTACAAACATGGGTATACAACTGAGTCCTTGCTTTCAATTTTTTATATATACATGTGGTAATGTCTGTTTTTAATCTTTGATTGGCATAGTGTTTTTGATAATGACTGAACCATTTTATCAGCATATTTTTGAGTACCTACGATCAAGATCAAAAACAGACAAAAATAAGTCCTTGTTTTCATGGAGTTTATGTTGTGGGGGGTGGGTAGACAGTATATGTAACTAAATTATAGTCATGTGCCGTATATGTATGGACTATATACGTATATGACAGTTGTCCTGTAAGACAGTGGTCCCCAGCCGTTTTAGCGCTAAGGACTGGTTTTGTGGAAGAGAATTTTTCCATGGACCAGGGGACGGGAGGGTTATGGTTTCAGGATGAAACTATTTTACCTCAAATCATCAGGCATTAGATTTTCATAAGGAGCAAGCAACCTATATCCCTCGCATGCACAGTTCAAAAGAGGGTTCACACTCCTGTGAGGTCCTGTAATGCCACCACTGATCTGACAGAAGGTGGAACTCAGGCGGTAATGCTCGCTCATCTGTTGCTCACTTCCTGCTGTGTGGCTTGGTTCCTAACCAGGAACCAGTGCGGTACCGGTACTAGTACGTGGCCCAGGGGTTGAGGACCCCTGCTGTAAGATTATAATGGAGCTGAAAAATTCCTGTCACCTAGTGACTTTCTAGCCAATATAACACTGTAGCACAATACCATCACTGGTGTTTGCAGTGATGCTGGTGTAAACAAAACTACTCTGCTGCCAGTCAGATAAAAGTATAACATAAAATTATGTGCAGTACCTAATACTTGGTAATGATAATAAATATGTTACTGATTCCTGTGCCTACTATACTATACTTTTTATCATTAGTTTGGAGCATATGCCTATTTATTTAAAAACAGTTAACTGTAAAACAGCCTCAGGTCCTTCAGGAGGTATTCCAGAAGAAGGCATTGTTGTCATAGGATGTGATTGCTCTGTGTGTGTTAATTGTCCCTGAAGATCTTCCAGTGGGGCCAGATGTGGAGGTGAACGACAATACCAATGATCCTGAACACTGTGTAGGCCTAGGCTAATGGGTGTTTGTATCTTAATTTTTAACAAGAAAATTTTAAAAGTTGAAAAAAAATTTTTAAGAACATAGCTTATAGAATAAGGATATAAAGAAAGAAAATAGCTATGTGCTAAGAGTCAAAAAGTTTTAAAAAATTGAAAAGCTGGCTGGACATGGTGGCTCACCCCTGTAATCCTAGCACTTTGGAAGGCCAAGGCAGGTGGATCACGTGAGGTCAAGAGTTAGAGACCAGGCTGACCAACATGTTGAAACCCCGTCTCTACTAAAAATACAAAAATTAGCCGGGCGTGGTGGCAGATGCCTGTAATCCCAACTACTTGGGAGGCTGAGGGAGGAGAATCGCTTGAACTCAGGAGGCAGAGATCGCAGTGAGCCAAGATCGTGCCATTATGCCAGCCTGGGTGATGGAGCGAGACTCTGTCTCAAAAAAGAAAAATTGAAAAGCTTATAAAGTAACAAAGTTATAGTAAGCCAAGGCTAATTCAACAATTTGAAGAAATAAAAATAATTTTATAAATTTAGCGTAGCCTAAGTGTACAGTGTTTATAAAGTCTACAGTAGTGTATAGTAGTGTCCATGGCCTTTGCATTCACTCACCACTCACTCACTCAGAGCAACTTTCAGTTCTGCAAGTTTCATTCATGGTAAGTGCCCTTTACCACTGTACCATTTTTTATCTTTTATACTATATTTTTACCATTTCTTTCCTGTGTTTAGGTATGTTTAGGTATACAAACACTTACCTTTGTATTGCAGTTGTCTACAGTATTCAGTACAGTAACATGAACAGTACTGTACAGTATACAGTACAGGTTTGTAGCCTAGGAGCAATAGATTGTACCATATAGCACAGGTGGGTAGTAGGCTATGCCATCCACGTTTGTGTAAGTACACTTTTATATTCACACAATGATGAAATTGCCTAATGACACATTTCTCAGAGCATATCTCTGTTGCAAAGTGATGCATGACTATATTAATAGTTTATTAGAAAGTGATCACTGTCAGCCGAGTGTGGTGGCTTATGCGTGTAATCCCAGCATTTTGAGAGGCCAAGACCGGCGGATCACCTGAGATCGGGAGTGAGCTGAGATCGTGCCATTGCACTCCAGCTTGGGCAACAAGAGCGAAACTCCGTCTAAAAAAAAAAAAGAAAGAAAGTGATCAGTGATCACTTTCATGAAAAAAAAGTGAGCGTGTTAGGGGTATTAGGAGGACGTTTCAAGCATAGCACTTCTCAAAACTTATTATAATTGAATGTTTTCTGTTTTATTTGTTTTATTATACAGGGCAAAAATTAATCTATTTTGTTACATATATATATTTTTTTTACCTTTTACCTAATAAAGACTCATAGCAGCTGCTAAATTCGTATATCTTTTTTTTTTTTTTTTTTGAGACGGAGTCTTGCTCTGTTTCTCAGGCTGGAGCGCAGTGGCACGATCTCGGCTCGCTGCAAGCTCTGCCTCCTGGGTTCACGCCATTCTCCTGCCTCAGCCTCCTGAGTAGCTGGGACTGCAGGCGCCAGCCATCACGCCCTGCTAATTTTTTGTGTTTTTAGTAGAGATGGGATTTCACCATGTTAACCAGGATGGTCTGGATCTCCTGACCTCATGATCCTCCCGCCTCGGCCTCCCAAAGTGCTAGGATTACAGGTGTGAGCCACCGCGCCCGGCCTAAATTCATATATCTTAATAGTCATTTCATATATTCATCCAATATTATTGTGACATGAGTATAATTGTCATTTCAGATGAAGAGACTTGGAATTCTAAATTGCAGTTCTCTCTTAACTCAATTGCCAAGATAATACAGAAATGGAATGGAATAGCTGGTCTTTGAATGAAACTCTCTTTCATGCCAAATTTGGAGTTGCTGCAAATCTGGGTGTTTTTTGACTCAGGTTTATATCTGTCACCTCATCGAGCATACACTTTTAGACACATAGAAGATATTTGAAGAACACATAGGTAAACATCACTTTGTTTACACCTCTGGTCAGTGTGTCTAGAGCGTATAAATTACAAATAAGGAAGATTAGTGTTTGAAGCTGTATTAATTATCTATTAGTGTGTAACAAATTACCTCAAAAACTAGTGGCTTAAACAATAATAAACATTATCTCACAATTTCTGTGAGAAATGTCTTCACTGGGTATTTTGGCTTGGATATCTCATGAAGTCGCAGTCAAGATGTCAGCTGGGCTGCAGTCATCAGAAGGCTGAACTGGGGCTGGAGGATTCACTTCCAAGATAGCTGGCTTCCAAGTTAGTATTAGCTGTCAACAGGAGGCCTCTTCCTAGGGCTGGTTGAGTGTCATCATGGTATGGCAGCTGGCTTCCCTCAACGTACATGATCCAAACATGTAAGACAGAAGCCCTAATGTCTTATAACCTAACCTTAGAAGTCACACACCATCATTTCTGCAATATCCTATTGGTTGTGCAGGTCAAAGATACTCAGGGTGGGAGGGATCTACAAAGGCATGAATACCAGAAGACAGTGATCACGGCGGCCATCTTGGAAGCTGGTTATCATAGGGAGCCAGTGAGAAGGCACCAGGTAAATTAGATTTATATCCTAATCCACAGGTCCTGGCCCCACAAGGATAAAACACATCTGCAGTGCAAATAGAAGTCTGAGGAACAGGTATCTATCATGGGAGGAGACCTGACCTGAGACCTGCCTTAGAGGCTGGAGAGTCCTGAAAGAGATTGGACCCTGGAGTTGCTGGAGCCTGTCTTGACCCTTCTGCCCAGAGCAGGCAAAGTCTGAATGACATCTCAACCTTCAGTGATCAGCAATAGCTGTGTAACAATGGAGCATTTGAGCCACATGATGGAAAGGAAAGGTGAGGTGGCTCATAGGTGGACAGAGCTTAGGAGAGAAGGGTTCTACATCTGGGGACAGTGGAAAGAAATTCATTACTCCTACTGAGAAAGGTCACGTGTGTGAGTTGACTATGCAGGGGAGACGTTTATTTTTAATCTTATTCATTTGACTACTTGAGTTTTTAAAAATTTTGAAATGCAGTTTTTATTTCTTGAAGAGTATATTTAAATAGATCTTTAAATGCTATACTATAACATAAACAAAAGCTTCCTATTCCATCCATCCTCGTCCCCTGTTCCCATTCCTGAAAGACAACCACTTTGCACATTTTTGTCTCAATATTCTGGTATTCACCTCCTTTTTTTCTAAATAACATTCTTATACTGCTAATGCTTGATTTCTCAGTTTTAGATATTTCCTGTTGATTTTTGATAATGGAGTTAAGGATTTAGCTCTCTTTCACTACCTAACCCCTTCCTTTTCACCTCCACCCCAACACACTCTTTTGCTTGCCCTTCTTTCTAATATGGTATTATTTTTTGGAGGTTGAAGGTTGACCAGATGTCAGGATCTATAAGCATTTTCTTTTGGGCTAGTCAGTTTCCCCAGCAAGAATTCCTAGATTTTGCTTGAGGAGTACAAGCCAGAACTCCCGCTTTTTGGGAGACAAAGGAAGGAAGTGGGCATGTTGGGCACCTCATCTTGCAATATGAGAACTTTTATTTAATTCTTTTTTCTTTGCATTGCCTCAACCCCACCTTTATCTGAATCTGATATGCCTGAAATCCAGAGCTTGTCTCATTCAGTATATCTAGAGAAAAAAATATTTTATTTTTCCTGTTGCCAATGTGAGGGAAATGTGACTATGCCATGTTGGGTGAAAGAAGACATCAGGCGGTCTTAACATCTTTTTATGACATCTTACGTTTGGTTTTCTGGTTTTCAACCCTACTCCCAACCTCTAGTCTGCAGAAATAATTAGTAGCTCCATTCCTGAACCTTTCTAGGGTCCTGCCATGGTTTCCCCACCCTCCTCCCACCCTTACTTAAGCTGCACCTTTCTCTGGTTAAGTTAGATACCACTCATTTGTCTGCTCTCTGGCTTCCCACATTTTGTTGACAGCCCTTATCTGTGGAAGTCTTCTATATTCTTTGTCCTTATGAGTTTTAGCCTCCTTTTTTCCTTTATTAACATTATGATTGGTTTGGGAGAGAGTGGAAATATTAATAAATGCAGGTATTCAGGCTTTCATTTTTAACCAAAAGGCCCTGAATTTTTTAGGGGAAAAAATAAATCAAGTTTTTAAAAAATGTCATTAGAATCATGACTGTATTGCATTCTATCATATGAATGTTCTACATTACCTGTAGTCAGTCTCTCATGAAGGTTTTTTTTCTGAGTTCTTTTTTTTGTGGGGAGAGACAGTCTTGCTCTGTCGCTCAGGCTGGAGTGCAGTGGTGCGATCTCAGCTCACTGCAACCTCCGCTTCCTGGGTTCAAGCGATTCTCTTGCCTCAGCCTCCCAAGTAGCTGGGACTATAGGCATGCACCACCAAGCCCAGCTAATTTTTGTATTTTTAGTGGAGACGGGGTTTCGCCATATTGGCCAAGCTGGTCTCGAACTCCTGACCTCGTGATCCGCCCATCTTGGCCTCCCAAAGTGCTGGGATTACAGGCGTGAGCCACTGCCTAGCCCTAAATTCTTTATGGTTAAAAAATAACATTTTAGGCCAGGCGTGGTGTCTCACGCCCGTAAGCCTGGCACTTTGGGAGGCCAAGGCAAATGGATCACTTGAGGTCAGGAGTTCGAAACCAGCCTGGCCAACATGGTGAAACTCTGTCTCTACTAAAAATACAAAAAAGTTAGCCAGGCATGGTGGTGGATGCCTATAATCCCAGCTACTCGGGAGGCTGAGGCAGGAAAATCGCTTGAACCTAGGAGGCAGAGGTTGCGATAAGCGGCGATAGGCCACTGCACTCACTCCAGCCTGGATGACAGAGTGAGACTCCATCTCAAAAAAAAAAAGAAAAAAAAAAAAAACATTTTAAAGGTCATCCCAATCTTTAAATTTTTGGGGTATCTATTATTATGTACTTAAGTTAAACTTCCTGTTAGAGATAAAACAGCAAGATTCTAGGGAGATAAAATATTGCCAATAGATTCACTGGGCACTGTATACTTAGCCCTCCAGAAATCCCCATCAGACCCCATATAATTAAATTAGCTATCCGTGTCCATTTCAGTGTCTCTGTAGCTAGATGGCGGTTAACATTTCTCATTGCTTCAAGGATCATTCATCTGTAGAGGGTCTTATAGCCACCTGCAGATTTCTGTATTCCTTTGTCTGAAACTTTGAAGCAAATCTGTTTTGTTTCTCTTCCTTCAGCTTGGTATTCTCAGGAGTCTGCCCTTTCCGAGGAAGAAGAGGATACAACCAGGCCTCTTGTACGTCTTAAGCATTTATTTGTTTCCTGCGTTATTTTGCAGTGTAGTTACGGTGGGTTATTGTAACCTACCAATATGTTGGAAAAAATAAATTGATGAAAATCAAAGTGAGCAAAAATACAGATAGAAAATCAGAACCTGGGGAAATTTGAGATATGGCTGTCCAGAAGCAGGTACATACAGAATTATTAAAGTTGAGTTCAAATTTAAATATGATCTGGAGAGTCAAAGCAAACTGGGACACTTAAGTATATTCCATAAGTTGCACCATTTATGAGGAAAAACTTACAATTATTTAAGTAAAGAAAAGACTTTTCATTGGCACCTTGGTCAAAAAGAAACTCTAAAGTATAGTTGGACTTCTGTGTCTGCAAATCAAAATACTTGAAAAAAAAAATGGGTGGTTGCATCTGTACTGAACATGTACAGACTTTTTTCTTGTCATTCTCTAAACAATATAGTGTAACAACTATTTACGTAGAAATCACACATTAGGTTTTATAAGTAATCTAGGGATGATTTAAAGTATACGGGAGGATGTACATTTGTTATGTACAAATACTACACCGTTTTATATAAGGGACTTGAGCATCTGTGGATTTTGGTATCCGTGGGGGATCCTGGAACCAATTCTCCATGGTTTCCTAGGGACACCTGTAATTCCTTAATTCTTACAATTTTTAGCTCAGCTTTTAAAAGTCAGTCTTGGCCAAAGTTCAAAAATTTAAATTATCTGGAAGAGGAAGTGGAACACATACCTTTCAAATGATCCTATGTATATATTTCCTTCAATTGAATTTTTAATCCAAGTTGAGCTAAATTATACTAATATTATATGGCAAAGTCTTACAGTTCTGATATCCATAGCTTTTCACATCTTTTTTATGGTCTCAGAAGATACAGTCTTCATCCTCATCTTACAAAATTAAATATTCTCTGCTCTTGATTCTTTTTGTTTCCATCCCTGATGTCACTCACACACCTATATTTTGAATGTTTTCTGCTTAACTGCCTCTTTTTCCTCAGCTTATGTATGTCTTGCCCATCTTGAAACATACACACATACTTCTTTTGACCATAGGATCATATGGCTCATCCAATTACTTCTGTTGGTGCGGTGGCCCTAGACAAACCTCTGTGGCCCTAGACAGGCTTGAGTTTAAATCTCGCCTCAGTGACTTATGAAGTGCATGACTGTGGACAAGTTTCTTAATCTTTTCGTGACTCCGTTGCATCTGTAAGTCTGTAAATGGGGATAATAATGGTGTTTATCCCATAGGAATTTTGGGAAGGTTAAATACATATAACAAGTACCCCATAAATGGTAGGTATTGTTATTTTTTTCTCAGATATTTTTGGTCTGCCATTGGTTGAATCCATGGATATTGAACCCACATATATGGAGGACCAACTGTTACAGCTTTACTGAGTTATTACTATGTGCCAGGTGTATTGTGCTTTACATAGCTTATTTCGTGTAATTATTATCAGAAGTCTATAAAGTACATATTATTTAATTTTTTTAAGATAAAGGAAATGAAGCACAGAGGTTAAGAGGCTTACATAACATTGTGCATCAGTGTGTCATAAACCCAGGATTCAAATCCATACAGTCTGACTCTAGGGCCCACACTTTACATTACTGTACAGATGGAGGCTTATTATGAGTGAAGAAATACAAAAGCCAATTACCTGTTCATATTGTTTGTCTATTTTGTAATAATAGTTTTTTCTCTATTTGAAATTAGAATATTTTAAGAATGCCTATTTCAGTATTAGGACTTGGGATTATGCAGCTACGTTCTCCCAATCTGTCACTTTTATGTTATCATTTATTTTTTGTTGTATAGACACTGAAGTTAGTTATGTTTAATGTATGATAAATATGTACACATAATAGAATTCAATCAAAATATGCAACAATTAATATTTAGTCTTTTTTCATGAGTTGCCAGTGTTGATCTTTTCTAAGATATCTTTCCTAATTAATATTAGATCATTGAGATAATCTCTGTTCAAAGCTTTGTTTTCCATATTTAGTCTTTAATCCAACTGGATTATAATATTGTAATTGGTTTGAGATAGGAATTTACTGATAATTCTATTAGTAGAATTACCTTTGCATGTAGAAGACCAGTTGTTCCAACACCATTTATTAAGTAAATATTTCCTTTGTGATGCCACCTTTACTGTATACATACAGGATTGTTTCTAGGCTTTTACTTTTTCTTTAATCTATTTGTCTACATTTATATCGGTACCATACTTGTATATGTGTGTTTTACATTGGTTTAATTACTATTACTTTATATGGGCAATGATTTTACCACTTCTTTATGCACACACATTATTCTTAGTTTTTCAGAAATTTTTGAGCTACCTTGGGACCTCTGGGCTTCCATTTGATTTTTAGAATTAGTTTATCTAGTTCTAGGAAAAAATCCTGTTGGGGATTTTCGTTGAATTGCACAGACTAATTGAAGAAGAATTGAGCAAAAATACGTATATATAAAAAGAGATATTTATTTATTTATTTATTTATTTATTTATTTATTTATTTATTTTTGGTGATGGAGTCTTGCTTTGTTGCCCAGGCTGGAGAGCAGTGACATGATCTTGGCTCACTGCAACCTCCACCTCCTGGGTTAAGCGATTCTCATGCCTCAGCCTCCCAGGCAGCTGGGATTACAGGTGTACACCACCACGCCTGGCTAAGTTTTTGCATTTTTAGTAGAGATAGGGTTTCACGGTGTTGGCCAGGCTGACCGCAAATGATTCTGACCTCAAGTGATCCACCTGCCTCAGCCTCCCAAAGTACTAGGATTACAGGCATGAGCCATTGCCCCTGTACTGAAATATATTTTCTGTCACAATTAAAGATGTTTAATTGATTATCACATGTTAAATTAATATTGCATTCTCCTGGGATAAATCCTACTTGGTTATGGTCCATAATACTTTTTATATGTTGTTGGATTAGGTTTGTTAGCATTGAGGATTTTTACCTCTCTATTAATAAGACAGAGTGGGCTCTAGTGTTTTTTTGGGGGGAGGTGCGTGTGTGTGTGTGTGTGTGTGTGTGTGTATGTTATCTTTGTCAGGTTTTAGTATTAGAGTAATACTTGCCTCATAAAAGATGTGTCCCCTCTTTTTATTCATCCTCTTTGTTTTGTTTTGGAAGAGTTTGTAAATAAGTTAGTATTAATTTCTTTGTTGTTTGGTAAAATTCACCAGTGAAGCCATCTGGGCCTGAGTTTTTCTTTTGGGTAGTTTTTTTTTGTTTTTGTTTTTGTTTTAGTAATTCAGTCTCTTGTTACAAGTCTTTTCGTCTTTTCTTTTTGTTTCAGTTTGATCGTTTGTGTCTTTCTAGAAATTCACTCATTTCATCTAGTTTGTTGGCATATATTTATTCATAATATCTCTTTGTATTCCTGTTTATTTCTGTACGATTAGTAGTAATATTTCTACTTTCATTCCTGATTTTTGTATTTTGAGTGTTCTTTTTTCTCTGTCAGTCATATTTGTTCATTTTGTCAATTTTTAGTTTTATTGATTCGCTCTAATGTTTTTCTATTCTGAATTTCTTTGATTTCCATTCTAATGTTTGCTTATTTCCTTTTGGTTACTTTGGATTTAGTTTGATCATCTTCTAATATCTTTTTTTTTTTTTTTTAATTGAGACAGAGCCTCACTCTCACTCAGGCTCAAGTGCAGTGGCATGATCATGGCTCACTGCAGCCTTGATCTCTCAGGCTCAGGTGATCCTGCCACCTCAGCCCGGTCCCCCAAACTCCCAGTAGCCGAGACTACAGGCATATACCACCATGCCCGACTAAGTTTTTGTATATTTTGTAAAGATGGGGTTTCACCATGTTGCCCAGGGTGGTCTTGAACTCCTGGGCTCAAGCACTTCGCCTGCCTCAGCCTTCCAGAGTGCCAGATTATGAGCACACCCAGTCCTCTTCTAGTATTTTAAGATAGAAAGTTAGTTTATTGATTTGAAATCTTTCTTCTTTCTTAATAAAGTGTTTACAGCAATAGGTTTCCCTCTAAAACTTGCTTTAATGGCATTCCATAAGTTTTAGTATGTTGCACCCTCATTTTCTTTTACTTCAAAGTATTTTGTAATTTCCATTGTGATTTTGTTGATCTATTGGTTATTTCAGAAGATTGTTTAATTTTTACATATTTTTGAATTTCACAAATTTATTTCTGTTAGTGATTTCTAATTTTTATCCATTGTGATCAAGGAACATACTTTACACAATTCTCTTAAAATTTATTGAGGCTTTGTTTTTTTTTTTTTTTAAAGAGACGGATCTTGCTGCATTTCCCTGGCTGAAATGCAGTGACTGTTCAGAAGCATGATTATAGTTCATGATAGCCTTAACCTCCTGGGCTCAAGTGATCCTCTTGCCTCAGCCTCCAGTGTAGCTGGGCCTATTGAGGATTGTTTTATAGACTAACGTATTTTCTATCTTAGAGAGTGCTCTATATACGCTTGAGAGAATGTGTATTCTGTTGCGCAGTGTGTTCTATAGGTGTCTGTTAGGTCTGGTTGGTGTATGGTGTTTGAGTCTTCTATATTCTTGCTTATAATCTGCCTGCTTGTATCCATTATTGAAAGTGGTGTTTGGGCCGGGCACAGGGGCTCACGCCTGTAATCCCAGCACTTTGGGAGGCCGAGGTGGGTGGAGCACAAGGTCAGGAGTTCAAGATCAGCCTGGCCAAGATGGTGAAACCCCGCCTCTACTAAAAATACAAAAATTAGCCGGCTGCGGTGGCAGGAGCCTATAATCCCAGCTACTAAAGAGGCTGAGGCAGGAGAACTGCTTGAACCCAGGCGGCAGAGGTTGCAGTGAGCCAAGATCGCACCACTGTACTCCAGCCTATGCAACAGACTGAGGCTCCAAAAAAAAAAAAAAGTGGTGTTTGGAGTCTCCAAAAATTATTTGTTAAATTGCCCGTTTCTGCCTTCAATTCTGTATTTTTGCTTTATGTATTTTAAGACTGTTAGATGCATATATAATTGTTACATCTTTCTGCCAGATTGACCATTTTGTCATTATAAAATGTCCTTTATCTTTAGTAACACTTTTGTTTTCAATTCTATTTTGTCTGATATTAAATATCCACTCAAGCTTTCTTACGGTTGTTTGTATGCTGTATCTTTTTCCATCACTTTATTTTCAAGCTGTTTGCATATTTGAACCTAAAATGTGTTTCCTATAGACAGCATATAGTTGAATTCCGTTTTTCGATCTAATCTGACAATCTCTGCCTTTTTTTAGCCTGTTTAATCCATTCAGAGTTAATGATAACACTAGAATTATTGGGCTATGTCTGCCATTTTCCTTTTTGTTTTCCATATGTCTCATGTCATTTTTTGTTTCTCATTTACTGCTTTCTTTTCACTAAGCGAATATTTTCCGGGTTTTTTTTTTTTTTTTTTTTTGAGACGGAGTCTCGCTCTGTCGCCCAGGCTGGAGGTCAGTGGCCGGATCTCAGCTCACTGCAAGCTCCGCCTCCCGGGTTTACGCCATTCTCCTGCCTCAGCCTCCCGAGTAGCTGGGACTACAGGCGCCCGCCACCTCACCCGGCTAGTTTTTTGTATTTTTTTTTTAGTAGAGACGGGGTTTCACCGTGTTAGCCAGGATGGTCTCGATCTCATGACCTCATGATCCACCCGTCTTGGCCTCCCAAAGTGCTGGGATTACAGGCTTGAGCCACCGTGCCCGGCCTATTTTCCGGTTTTAAATTATAATTTCTTTAATGATTTTTTCACTGTATTTTCTTAGTGGTTGCTCTAGGAGTTGGATACTATATATCTTATCAGAACCTACTTCAGATTTATACTAAGTTACATTAAGATATGGAAATATTAGTCTTATGTAGTTCTATTCCCTCTTCCCTCATTTTGTACTATTATTGTTATATATATTACAAATTTAACCCATTATTATAATTACTACTGCATACAGTGTTGCATCACTTAAAGAAGATGAGAAAAGAGAGCAAATATGTATTATGTTTATTATATTAACCTTATTTACCATTTGTGTTGATTCAAGTTCTAGTAAATCTTGTGTCATTTGCTTACTCTATTCCAAATTTGCTTTGAAGATTCTCTCTTTATCTCTGGTTTTTAACATTTTTGCTATGGTATATCTGACTGTGGGTCTCTTACATTTGTTTTACCTGGAGTTCATTGAGCTTCTTGAATGTATAATGTTTTTTGTCAGATTTGGGAAATGTCCAGCCATTATTTCTTTGAATGTTTTTTCTGCACCTTTCTTCTTCCAGTACTCCTACCGTTCATGTATTGGTGCACTTAATGGTGTTCCACATTTCTCTGAGGCTCTGTTTATTTCTCCTTATTGTTTTTTCCTTTGTTCTTTGGATTGATGATCCCTATCAATCTATCTTTAAGTATGCTGGTTCTTCTGCCAGTTCAGATCTATGACCAAGCCTATCTGGTGAATTTTTTCACTTTGGTTATTGTACTTTTCAATTTTATAATTTCTGTTTGGCTCTTTTTTATATGTAACTTTTGTCACTTTATTGACATTCTCTATTTGATGAGACATTGTCATCAGACCTTCCTTTTTAAAAATAATGATTTCCTTGAGCTCTACAATGGTTGCTTTGAAGTTTTTGTATATTAAATCTGACATGTGGGCCCTCTAACGGGCAGTTTCTGTTGTCTGCTTTTTTTCCGTTGTATGTTTTTCCTTTTCTTGTCTCTTTATCTGTCTGGTAATGTTTTGTTGAAAACTGAATATTAAGGATATATACAGTAGCAACTCTAGATAAAATTTCCTTTTTCTCTTTTCTTGTTTTTGTTGTTCTTTGTTTAGTGACTTGCCTAGATTATTTCAGTGAAGTCTATTTCCCCTGTAGTGTGAAGTCTTTTGTGTCGCTCCTCAAAGGACATAGCCTTGGGCATGTACAAACTCACTCTGGGATGACAGTGGTTCAATCAGGGCTCTTTTTAATTGTCCCTTTCCTGGATCTGTCTTTTTTTCTTTTCTTTCTTTCTTTCTTTTTTTTTTTTTTTAAGACAGTCACCCAGTTGCCCAGACTGGAGTGCAGTGGCACAATCTCGGCTCACTGCACCCTCCACCTCCTGGGTTCAAGCGATTCTCATGCCTCAGCCTCCCAAGCAGTTGGGGTTACAGGCACGGGCTACCACGCCTGGCTAACTTTTGTATTTTTTGGTAGAAACTGGGTTTCACCATGTTGGCCAGGCTGGTCTCGAACTCCTGACATCAAGCGATTCACCTGCCTCAGCCTTCCAAAATGCTGAGATTACAGGTGTGAGCCACCGCACCCGGCTCTGGATCTGTTTTTTAAACTGTCTTAAATTACTCAATCCCTTGAGCATAAATTACTCCACAGTTTGATCTCAGTCTTTTGAGGTTTCTTTTGACCCCAGGAGGGTCCTGTATTGTCTTTCCCTGGTTTTCTGGTTAATTGTCCTGTGCTTTACCTTGCTGCTTTTAATTAAAAGTAGAGCCAGGTATGGTGGCTTGTGCTTGTAATCCAGCTACCTGGGAGGCTGAGGTAGGAGAATAGCTTGAGCCCAGGAGTTTGAGGCTGCAGTGAGCCCTGAATGCACCAGCCTGGGCGACAGAGTGAGACTCTATCTCTAAAAAAATAAAATAAAATAAAACTAATAAATAAATACAAAGAATTACCACCTTCTCTTAATTGCTCTCCACCAAAATCTCCGTTGTTTCTGAGTACGCCTTAAGCTTGAAATTTGCCATAACTCTGTTGCAAATAAATTCATTTCCTTGTCTCTTCACATTTGTCAAGCCTAAAACAAGAAAAATAATACAATTATTCAAATTTGGGATTTAAAAAGAACATGTAATAAACAATAGAATGGTAAGTTTTAAAAAGTTGAGAGGAAAAAAAATAAAAAGTTGAGAGGAATTCCACTTCCAGGATAGCAATGGAAAGTATTCCATGGACCTAATCCACAGTAAAACAAGCATAACTGGTAAGAAGCATTTAAACCTGCAGATTGTGGCTCAAATGCCACAGACCTTTATAGTTTTTATTAAGTTTTAGTGGTTTTTTATTATTATTAAATGGTTCTTTATTTGGTATATGCCTTCAGGGCAACTTCCAGAAATTTTAATCTTTAAAAACTTCTCACCAGTGTTTATCTATATATTAAACTTATCAAGGAGTTCTTACCTTCTAAATGGATAATAATAGTAGCTACTTTATAGCCTTATTAGGGGAATTTTAAAAGTTAACGTAACAAAATATTATAGCATTGTCTAGCACATAACAAGTAGTCAGTAGATGACAGTGAAAATATTAATGATAGTAATGATCTCAACATCATAGAGATAGTTTCTCAGAGACATTATTCAGCCTTTGGGCCGTGCGTGGTGGCTCACGCCTGTAATCCTAGCACTTTAGGAGGCTGAAGTGGGCAGATCACCTGAGGCCAGGAGTTCAAGACTAGCCTGACCAACATGGTGAAACCCTGTCTCTACTAAAAATACAAAAATTAGCCCGGTGAGGTGGTGGGCACCTGTAATCCCAGCTACTTGGGAGGCTGCTGTAAGAGAATTGCTTGAACCCAGGAGCGGAGGTTGCAGTGAGCCAAGATTGCACCATTGCACTCGGGCCTGGGCGACAGAGCGAGACTCCATCTGAAATATAAAATAAAATAAAATAAAATAAAATAAATTCAGCCTTGGGTGATTTCCATTTGTATTTCCCATTTTATCTTGTCCCATTTGTACTATCTCTTTAATAAATTCCCCTAAGTGTGGCTATGCAGGTGCCTTTTTTTTTTTTTTTTTTTTTTTCCCTAGAGAACCTTTGCAGTTTAAAAGGTTTTTCTTTATTTCCTTACTTGGATATATAATTATTTTAATGGGAAGAGCTAGACACTATTGATCAAATCACATTCTTTTTTAGAAATTTGGCATTTGTTTGTTGGTTTCTGTTATATCATTCTCATAGATTTAATTCCCATCCTTTGATTGTGAATAAACAAAAGACTAAAACCTCACTCCCTTTCTTCGATGGTTAACTATGGACTCTGTCCTTAGCTGTATTACTCACCATGTATATTTTCTACAGCTGCTCACATCCTTTGGCCATGGATTCAGCTCCTAATTTTAGGTTGATGACTAAAAACTTTTCATCTCCTTTCTTCTTATATCTAACTGCATAGTGAATATTTCCATCCGAAAGTCCTATAGCAAGCTTGTCCAACCCACGACCGGTAGGCCCCTGCAGCCCAGGATAGCTTTGAATGTGGCCCAACACAAATTTGTAAGCTTTCTTAAAAACATTATGAGATTTTTTTGTGATTTATTTATTTATTTATTTAAGCTCATCAGCTGGTGTTAGTGTATTTTACGTGTGGCCCAAGACAATTCTTCCAATGTGGCCCAAGGGAAGCCAAAGATTGGACACCCTATCCTATAGGAATTTCATACTTTACATGTTCAAATTTTCATGCCTCTCCTCCTTCCTCTTGCCTTATTTCTCTTACCTCTCTACTCTCTGCCATGTTCCCCTTCCCCCTAGATCACGTAAACATCTGGACAGGTTCTGAGCCAGTTACCTGTGAGTCACGTTCAATTCTTCCATCTCTGTCACAGCCGAGTAAAAATTAGTGACCACTGACTCTAGCTTCCTGCATAATAGATGATGAATGAATAAGTTTGCTGACTTAATAATTAACATACCCTTCAAGGATATTTCTGCTATGCTTTATTTTCCCTACAATATAATGTAAAATTAGGTAAATATGAAGACCTGATAAGGTTTTTAATGACCTCTGACCCCTGAGTACCAGCAAAACAAGTTCTTACATGTTTTGATCACAATTCCTAATTTTGATGACTTCAGATTAATTAGCATTATGTTTTTACAGGAAACAGTGACATTTAAGGATGTGGCTGTTGACCTTACCCAGGAGGAGTGGGAGCAGATGAAACCTGCTCAAAGGAACTTGTATCGGGATGTGATGCTGGAGAACTACAGCAACCTAGTTACAGTGGGTAAGGTAGCTTGGTAGCTTTGCAATTTAACAGAGAAATTCTTTTCCATTTCTGAAATGTGTGAAGACTGTAACTTGCCAGATAAGCATAGCCTTTCCTTTCTCCACATGACTGTATGTGCTCCACTCTTCAGTGTTAAAGGCTAATTACTTTGTGTCATTGTGTAAGTTTGTTCATCCTCATCTTTTGTAAACCCTCAAACTTCAACTTAGCCCAAGATCTGGATGGTTGTCTCCAGCATTAACATCCACGTCTTTTGCTATTTCTTGTAATAGGCTGTCAAGTCACCAAACCGGATGTGATATTCAAGTTGGAGCAAGAAGAGGAGCCCTGGGTGATGGAGGAAGAAATATTTGGGAGGCACTGTCCAGGTGAATAAGTGAAAAGCAGCTCTGAAAGAGAAAGCCACATGAGAGTTGTTCAGTGAAGGGTTGATACCATTTCACAGTTTCCAAGCTTTTCTATTTTTTTTTTTTTTTTTTAAGACGGAGTCTAGCTCTGTCGCCCAGGCTGGAGTGCAGTGGCCGGATCTCAGCTCACTGCAAGCTCCGCCTCCCGGGTTCCCGCCATTCTCCTGCCTCAGCCTCCCGAGTAGCTGGGACTACAGGCGCCCGCCACCTCGCCTGGCTAGTTTTTCGTATTTTTTAGTAGAGACGGGGTTTCACCGTGTTAGCCAGGATGGTCTCGATCTCCTGACCTCGTGATCCGCCCGTCTCGGCCTCCCAAAGTGCTGGGATTACAGGCTTGAGCCACCGCGCCCGGCCCCAAGATTTTCTTAAAGGCTCTATTCTTCTAGAGTGACAAATGGGATGGAGTGCTTTAGATTACTGTGACATTTTTAGATATTATTCTTCCTATATTGCAGATATTTTCCTCTTTTAAATTGTAGAGGGCCAGTAGTCCTATCCAATTTCGTAATACCATCCTTCCCTAATTCATTCACAGCCTTCCTTTCAGGATTATTGTTCCTCTCTCTATGATCCTTGGGCACTCTCTTTCCTTTATGTTTATGGTTTAATTTCCTTATGCACTCAGTATTTCATGGTTGTGTAGTAATTTTAAAACATGTTTCATACTTAGGTTTCTTTTCATTTCTTTCCTTCTTTCCATTTTAAAAAGCTTCAGACTTGTGTTTGGTTAACAATAGTTTCATTTCCCATTGTACTTCACAACCCTGACAATCCCATGGCTTAGAAATATAAAAGTTTCTGACTTAGAAATCCCATGGCATCTCCTTTCTGCTTATTCCCGCCTTCCATTCCTTTAATTTTTTTGAAAATACACGAGGTCCATACTTGGTTAAAAAATATAAGCAGTATTATACCTATAATACCAATAGTATACCTTTTGTGCAAAAGCAAATCTTATCCTTGACACAGTCCCTTCCTTTCCACAGTTCCATACATTTCTTTTTTGGAGTTATCCTGGCTATTTTTGATTATTTTACCATATGAATTTTAGACTTAATGTCTATTTCCAGAGAAAAACCTGTTCGATTTTTTTTTTTTTTTTTTTTTTTTGAGACAGAGTCTCTCTCTGTCGCCCAGGCTGGAGTGCAGTGGCCGGATCTCAGCTCACTGCAAGCACCGCCTCCCGGGTTTATGCCGTTCTCCTGCCTTAGCCTCCCGAGTAGCTGGGACTGCAGGCGTCTGCCACCTCACCCGGCTAGTTTTTTGTATTTTTTAGTAGAGACGGGGTTTCACCATGTTAGCCAGGATGGTCTTGATCTCCTGACCTCGTGATCCGCCCATCTCGGCCTCCCAAAGTGCTGGGATTACATCGAATTTTTATTGGGATTGTGCTAAATATATAAATTAACTTTCAGAAATTTAACATCTCTTTAATGCCAATGTTTTCTGTCTAAGAACACGCTCTGTTCATATTTTCATATCTACTTTTGTGTCCTTTAGAAATGGAGCTTTCCAAGTTTTCCCATTGTTGCTTTTGTATATCTATAATATGGGTAAGAAAGCTATAAAATCATTCTTATTTACAGATAATGAGATTATAGCCCTGGAAAACACAAGAGAACCAATTGAGAAAGTATAACAAATAGTAAGAGAACTCAGTGAGGTGGTAGGATATCAAACTTAACAAATAAAAATCAATAGCTTTCATATATACTTCAACAACCAAATAGAAGATACTAAGGAAAGAAAACTACATTTATAATAGTAAGAACAAAGATGAAATACCATTCTAGGTATGGATATATAACAGTGTACTGAACAAAATCCTGTCTTTATGAGCTTATAATTTCATGGAAACTAGAGTCCCTGAGGTTTTGCATATGGGAAAGTATCTTTTTAACCTTTACATTTGGTTGATAGTTGGCCATGTGTAAAATTCTTGAGCCATACTTTCTTTTCCAAAGAGTTTTGTAGACGTTACCTGAGGGATTTAGACAATTCTCTGTTGTTTCCTAGATTCAAATGTTGCTTGAAGAAGCGTGAAGCGTGATTATTTCCTCTCGTGGGTGACTTATTTTCTGGGATGCCTATAGGTTTCTTTTTCTTTAAAGCTTAAATGACTTTGTGAGGTTATGTCTTGGAATTGATCACTCAGTATCAGCTTTTCCTTTCAACTTGTGGATTCATGGTTTTTGTTCCCTGAAACATCGTCATATAGCTTTCATGCTCATTTCTTTTATGGTTATCATTGTCATCTTTGGATGAAGGTATTTCCTGCTGTACCCACTGTTTACAGAAGGATAGTGTTGAAGACTGTCCAGAAAAATGCTCTGAGTTGGTAAGAAGCCTGGATACCTCACACTGACCTCCTTTATCACACAAGGTTTTGTGTTGAGAGTTGGTTTACCCTTTCATTCTCCCAAGTTAAAGAGAGATTATTATTTGCATATTTCCTGTAGAACTCAGTGTCTCTTCCATCTTCCTATGCTAACAAGCTGCTTATATAAGAATACTGGCTATTCGCATCTCCTTGTTCAGGCCTGCCTTTGTACCATTTGTCAGGGCCAGATGAAGTCCGTTTTGTTCCTGCTGCAATCTTGACATCTGGCAAAAAAAAATGACTCATTAATTCTGCCCACAAGGGGGTGCCTCTGTTTTAGAGAACTCTGTTCCTTGTACTTTTTGTTTGAGATAAGAAACAGAAACTGCTATCTCTGGGTTTCTTCTCTGCCTAATCCAGTCTGTTTTCTGTTCTTTCCTCCTATTCTGGGGATGGAGTTTAGCTGTCTTTAAGGTTCATTGAAGATGTATTTTCTTTTCTTTTTTTTTTTTTTTTTTTTGAAGTGGAGTCTTACTCTGTCACCTAGGCTGGAGTGCAGTGGCACAGTCTCAGCTCACTGCAACCTCTGCCTCCTGGGTTCAAGCAATTCTCCTGCCTCAGCCTCCCAAGTAGCTGGGATTACAGGTGTGAGCCACTGCACCTGGTCAGAAGATGTATTTTCTTTTTGTTTCCTCTTCTCCATGTTTGCAGAGTTGAGAGGAGACAGAGATGTTTAATTCTACCATATTGAAACAGGAAGTCCTCTATGCTGTATTTGATCCATTTCACCCTTCTTGGAAATGTCTTTGTGCTTCTTTGTGCTTTTCTAAAGGATTCAAATTCTTCCTTGGTTCTGGTTTATTGTTTATTTCTTCTTCCCTTATAAAATATCTTTTAAATGACTCCTTTCTCAACACTCACTGGACATCACCCAAAGTAGTTCTGAAGTACAATAGACTTCCTTTTCCTCAAAGTACCTTCATGCTATATCTGTGTTCATGCTATTAAATAGGTATTTAACTCTAGAAATGACAGCATTGGAATATGTATCTTTAATGCCTCCAGAATTTTGAAACTCTTCATATCTCTGCCGTTAATTATGAGTGCTCTTACCTAAGTTCTAGCAGTTATTTAACTTTAATCTTATTTTCTAGTAAATGGTCCTCAGTATTTCCAGCCTACATTGGTCTTGCCCTTCTCTCAACTAACATTCTATTACATGTCTACCAGAGTGGTCGGAATCTGAAAACATATTACATCTTCTGTATGTTTTCATATTTTGATGTCTAACACTTGTTTATTAGTCCATCTGGAGAAAGAATAACTTTAATTCTTCCTATAAATGAGTCATGACTGATGCAGAGCTATATTTGGGAAGATTTTCCTTATTTTTGGTTGTTTTAAAATGTTTACCTGCAGATTTTAAAATAAATGTGGAAGAAATCAGGCTAGAGTTAGAAAGACAGGGCATGGTCACACGAGATAGTGTTGAATGTTAAATTGAATGTAAATGCAATTTAGTAAATGACTAAACCAGACAAAGAACACCTAGAAAGTTTTAAGAGAAGGGCTGTAGAAGGAGTAACAAGATTGAGGCTTTCTTTTTCTTTTTGAAAAGAGCTTGGCATTGAAACCATTTTCCTGTAAGATCTATAGATTATTTAGACTTATTAAAAATTAGAAAATATAACAAAATGTTTGGAAAATAAAATTAGCATGTTTGTTTGTGGGGTAAAATTAGAAACATGGCCTGACTGGAGGGGAGAGAAGATTGTAAGAGATTATTGAAATCAAGGATGAGTTTTGCATTGTAGAGTCAGAAAGTTCTGAATTTTGCCAGCATTCATGTTCTCTTTTGCTGTCTTTTATTTTGAAAATTTTGTTGTCAATTTAGTTTAATATTTCCCGTTTAATCACTGAGGCTATAGTTTTGCCCTGTGCATGGTGGCAGCAAGGTTACAATAGTTATAAGCAGAGGCTTATAAGATAACAGAATATGAAGGTTAAAAAACATCTAGTTATTTGGATTTTAAGTTACCCACAGCTGACGGAACTCCAGGGGCATGGAAAACCATTGTAGAAGTAATGATGTAGGAATGTTATCATTTTGGATGATGGTATGAAAGAAAAAAGTTAAAACACAATGGAATTTGATATAAAGGCAGTTTCAGTGTGTAGAAATAAACATAGGATAAGATGATAGGACCTGCTGTTAGAACACTGTGGTAAATCAAAGATGACTTGCCTTCTGATCAGCTTTATACTTTTTATTCAATAAAATTAGACCTCCCTATTTCTAATATGCCTTGTTCTTTAAGCACATATAAAAATGAATCACAATTAGATGGAAAGTTGGAGCTCTCTCCATATTTATTACCAATTTTGGATCGTATTTGGTTTGGACAGACTAATCTTCAATATGTTTATATAGAAATAAAGGAATTTGAACTTTATGAAAATTAATTTGCTTGTGGTATGCAGACTGCATGCAAGATAGACTTGTCAAGATCGTATGACAGTTAATCTAGGCAAAAGTAATGAGAACTTGGGTTATCATTTGTTTCTCTTCACCTAATGTAGCTGTTATTTCTCTCTTATGCCATTTCTTTCCTTTGTAATATGCATTTTTAGTTTTTTCAAA